CTCCCATTAAATCCTCTGATAATAGCAGAGACTTTTCAAACTACTTATACAAACCTTAATCCCAACGCGGCGAACGCTGTGTACAACTTTAAAGCTGCACCAAATAACATTGTTCGCAACCTCTATATTGTTTCCACCGAGTGTCCTCAACTAAACCCAGTGTCCTCAAACTGTAATCCCTTCCTTTTCAACGCCCGGTATTTCCACAAGTGCGCGAAGATGTTATAGGGGGAGGGGGAAACGAGGTACCTTTCACCTGATCCCGACAAAATAACTCAATCTCGAAAGCAATCTGAGCAAGTAAGCAAATGCTTAATTAACCGGGTGCTACCTATTACAACGTGGTTTGCTTCCGTGTTTAAAGATTAGCGACGCGATCAAATTTGACACGCCTCTGTTCTGTTACGTGTTTATTTAGAATATCTGATATCTGCGGTAATTGGGTTATTTTTTTTCTTGTCAAAATAGGATAAAATATCGAAAGATATTTGCTCTTCACTAATTAAAAATCAGAAACGAAAATTAGAAAATAGATTCTTTTGTGAAAGAAAGTATTTATGAGAATAACACGTTTCGAAAATGACGAATTTTATTGGGAAAAGTAGGATGAAGAAACGAGATATCAAAGATATTTTTAATTAATGAAGAAATAAAAAGAAAAAGAATTTAAAAGTGATTAAAATTTTTCTTCTTTCCCATAAGAATTATAACCTATTTTTATCGCCACTAAATATTCCATATTCCCGTGAGTAATTTATCTTTCAACGAATGTCTTAAGGGATCACTTTCAAGAACGAATCGGGAACACCGAAGCTGAAAACCGTGCTCGTAATTCACACTGTACCCCTAAACGACCCGACTATATACCATTCTCGTATCGCCATTGTCGAACCGAGCACAGTAGAGACGAGGCGAAATCTCAAGAGGAAACGATGGCTGGCCTTGTGTAGTTCGTCTTCAATCCACAGATACGAGATGGTAAATAGTTGAAGACAGAACTTTTGTGGGGAACCGTTGCACCGTAACGAAACGGAGCCTATTATCGGTAGATGAATGGCGAGAGCCGGGTTTTTTTGCCGGGATGCGTCGTCGCGACGCCCTCGTCGCGACACCGGAATTGGTGAACATCGAGGAAAGCTGAATCACCGTTTTCCATCATGCGAACGGAGTATTAATTGCCCATGACAATCGCGATTTAGTCAGTCTTAATTGATAATAGCTAATGCCGAATAAATGGGAACCGGTACGAGTAATTAAATCAACCAATCGTGTGCGAATCAATCGCGGATCCATTTACCATTCTCGTGTATCCTCGTTAGAAATGTGATCGAATTTATAAGATGTTGATATATTCGTGAATTATTTTTAAAAAATTAATTCTAGACGCCGAAACAAGCATAAAAGTTGATATGCAAAATTGGCGGTTGAGACTTATTTATTAAGTTATGAGCAATTTAATTTTACGCTAAAAACGCTTCTAGACAAATAACGCCAACAGTATCGTATTACAGTGGCGTTTAATTAAAATCCCTAGGATCGGAATCAACGAAAATTTTAAAAACGATCAATGTTGTATCATCGCATCATTTTAGATTAATTATTTTAAATTTGATTATTTAGATCTAAAAAAAAAAAAATATATATTTCTATTATAAATAATTAATGAAAAAAAAATTTTCTCTTATTGAAATGAATATAATGAAATGAAATATGAAATAAAATCTTGATACTTGAAACTTGTGAAATAAATTGTGAAATAAAATTTATATACCTTATTTATATATATATATATAAAAGAATCTCTAAAAATATTTAAAATGGCAGATATAGTTTCTTTTTTTGATTTCATTTTTATTTTTATTTTTTTTTTTTTATGGTTTCGAAATATATAGATATATGCAATTTGTGATACAATTGAACAAGCAGTATAATGATTTTTTGTACAAAATAAAATACAAACATAAAATTGAATTTTCCATGAACAAAGGAAAAGAAAAATTTTATGGAAAAATATGTTGGAACTGAGTTTAAGTAAATACTAGTTCGACAAATTTTAAAACTATCTTAAAATAAAATCTAGTTTTGAAAGAATGTATGTTATGCTGGAATAAAATATATTGTATCTTTTGTAAATTTTACATAAATTCATTTTCAATGAAATCTATTTGAATAAATTAAAAAATGATAAAAAAAGAAAGAAAAACAAAAAAAAAGATAAATATAGTCACATATCGAGATATTTCGATGTAAATATAGAGAAATATGAAATTTTCTCTACGAAATTGAATAAGCAAACAATGATAAAACAAGATTTATTCGAGACAAGTTAAATTAGATTTTATTCTCATTTTTTCATTGTATCATTAAAGATAAATTATTTACTTACTCGACGTGTCAAAAACCAACAAAAAGTGCAATAAAAAAACTCACTCTGACTATGGTATCATATAACGTGAGATCAACATGAACAAAAAGAACGATTTTGCAACCAGTTCCATTTTCTCATTCGATCGTTTCATCGAGAATACACAACGCGCGAGGGAAAAATATATTTTTACGCTACGAGAACGCGAAAACCGTGAGAGAAAAATACGCCACGTTAATCCATGTGATTTTTCTCCTCTACTCTCCTCGATCGACACACGCTCCAGTGAAAATGATACGCAGATCCGGTGAAAATGCTCGGAAAAACTCGATTGCCTTAAAGTTCCGTAAACACAGTGATGTAAACATCAAGTAAGAACGAAATTCCGTTAAACATTTCGTAAAAACGATAGAAAAAGCGATGCTCTCGAAATTCGTTTTTTTTTCTTTACAAGAGAGATACACGCGCGCCCTCTATCGCGCCAGCTTCTTTAGACGCACTAAATATTAATAGTTGAGAATTACTTCGAGAACTAAGTTAGCGGACTGAACGATTAAATGTTTCTATCTAGGTGGCATTGCTGTTGTCTTTTTTTACTTCGATACAAGATTGAAAACCAGACCAGAATTGAAATTATTTATCAATTTTACGAAAACATTTTTTTAATCAGATAAGAAAAAGACTTGATAAGTCCATTTTTGTTAATTTTCTATTTTTTGTGAAAAATGAAGAACAGAATTATTTTTATACTGACTAAAATAATTAGAATAATCCAAGATGATTATGAATAAAGTACTTACTTGGAATAGTTACTTAGGAATAGTTAAAAAGAAATACATATATACTTAATAAGTCAATTACGGAATTGATATTTCTCTATTTTGAAGAAAGTTGCGAAAATGAATTATTTATTATTATAGTTTTATTTAATCATTTTTAATTACTTAAATAAATCGTAATATTTTAATTTTTGAACGATGAAAATACTTGGTTTAGTTAATTTCTCTTTTTCCTTCATAAAATTCATAAAATTTCTAATAAAGAAGAATTAATAAAATTGCAAACTTATTATATTACGTATTTATATATTTTGTTTTGTTTTTTATTTAAAATTTTCACCGTTCATAACTATTTTAATAATTAAATATATTACAAGTTAAAATAAAAAAACATTTGTATCCTAAAATAACGTTTCATACTTTTCTAATTAACGAAGAAATAAAAATTATAAAATTGTATACTATACTGCGAAAATCTTTAAGTTTTATAAAAAATAAAAAAAAAATATGAAATAAAATTTATTTGTTTACGATTTAATCTTCATAAAAATCAAATTTAAAAATCTATATATATATATATATATATATAT